TTTAACATAGAATCCCTATCTAAAGCTTATTCGAAAGTGGTTTTTTATTCACTGTAAACAAAGTTTTCTTTAGAATTTTTTGAAACAAAGAGACATAAAACTTGATATTACAAGGAATAATATGAAATTTTCCTGAATATGCCTTCCGGTATTTATATTTAAGAAATCATTTAACAAAGTAAGTAGCTCGGCTATTTTTTCGACCGGCGGCAGTAGCGAAGGCGAGAGGTATTGACGACTTGGCAACGTTGCGTTGTATACGCTCAACACGTGACGCGTGACAACACAAATAACCTCGTACTTTCTCAGGGTAGCGATCACGTAATTTCAGCAAAAAATTAATAAGATGCAATACCCGAAGCAGGGCAGACACTGTCCATAACCTTACTAACACAACACAAAGCACAGAGCGAAAAGGCAGCGTTGCCGCATCGCACGGAGTGACGCAGTAGGATCATTTTTACACTTCTGCGCACACGGTGATACTCAACTAATATTTTCTGTGTGTAGGGGCGATTGCGTGGACGCGAGTAAACTTTAGGTTGAGCACAACTGCAGTCGGAGAACGTCCTTAAGAAAGAAAATGAAGTGGACTAACAATATACAGCATGTGTGTGTGTGTGTGTGTGTGCGTGTGCGTGTGCGTGTGTGTGCGTACAATCAAATCATTAAAAATACCAAATATGAAAAGTAATGAAGAGATTTAAGAAAGAAAATTAATAATATACAGCGTGTTCATATGTGCGACCAGATTTAGATAGGTATGCGGCTTAGATTTATTATAAAATAAGTATTTATATGGTGTGCGTTATATATTGTAAAAGCGTATAAGACTAGAATAATGATTTCAGATTTGTAAGACATGCGGTTTAAGTTAAATTTAAAAGTAGATTTAAAATTAATTATAATCTTAATTGTGTAATTGTGATTGTAATTTTAATGTTAATTATTGCTAATTAAACAGTAAACATTGTTTATTTCTATGAAACATTTATTTATTATATTTTGAGGTCTAGCAGCGCGCCAAGCATTTTTACATAAAAAATTTTATTTTAATAAAATTTTCTCATTTTGTGAT